AACTAATCACAATCTACTAGGGGAAAAAACGTAGTGTAAGAAAGATGATCTTGCTTGTAGGGGGGAAAATGGAAAGAAGCTCTGAGCAGTTTGGTTTGTTGCATTTTTTCATGTGCCGGATGGACAGGATCTGAGCGTCTCACATTTAGCAAAAAACTGTCAACACCCAAATAAACTTTTAATGACAGTAAGAATGGCATTCTACTACTCACAATTTCGCAATATTCGCTTAAGAAAGAGCTAATGTGTCCAAGTGTTTTTCCCTCAACCAAACTGGGAATACCTGACAACCACAGGTAACTTGTTAAAAATGTTAACCACATTTACTTATTGAACACGTTCAGCCAGAGAGAGAAACATGTCTGTGACGCAGGCACAAAGCAACGCCAGGAACAAGCTAGCATCTCAGAGTTTCAATGCTGGTAGTCCCCCTGCCCCTGCCCCCCAGATTAATTGTACAAATTCCAAATGGTCAAAAGCATCCAGGATTTCAAGCGTCAGCTGATGGAAGCGGCCTCATGCGAGACCCAGGGGGTCCAGTGGCTCCCAAGGATTCTCCCGCTCACAGAAGAGTGCCCGCCGCCTTGGCATGCCCTGCTGGGCTTCACACACACTGTTTTGGAAGGAAGCAGGACCGTCAGTTCCACTGGATGTGAATCTCCCACCTACAATGCTAGTAAATCCCTGCAGGCAGACCCCATCCGCTTTCCTCACGGTCACCTGTCAGACTGTGCAGGAGGACCCTATGGGTGGGATCCCTACCAATTCCACTTGGGGGGTCTGGCAACCCCATGGCCCAGGACTCTTACTAAACACAAGAATTCTACCAAGGCCCGCGCAGACTACTGAAGTAAGGAAAAGCCTTCAGACTAAAATGAAGAAATTGACAGCCTTTAATTTGTACATTAACATCATCCTATAGGAATTAATTACAGCCAGAACGAGAATTATTTTTTATCAGAGAGTTGTTTGCTCTCTAAAGCAAAGGTTCTTGGTAGGGTTTGCAACAATTCAGACATCTTTCAAAAACAGTGTACGACCTCATTACATTTTTAAACTGTGCCACATTATGTGAATAGGCATAAGCACTTTTAAAAAATCTTTAAGCCACAACCCAGGTGCGTCCAAGCGGCTTCTTGAGTGGCGTCAATGAGAACATCAGCACAGGGTCCCCCTCCATTCCCGGGGAAACCCCCTCCTTGCAAGGACACACCTCTGCTCCACCAGCCTTCCCAGAGATGGGCTGGGAACAGAAGCAATGGCAGCTGGCAACTGCAGCAGGACCAGTGGCCAGAGGCAGACCTCAACTCCTCCTCTGAAAGCCAGCACCTACGCCCAGACCAAACTCACTTTGGAAACACAGAGCAAAGCAGGGCCATCACCTGTGTTCAGGAGCGCAGCTTGGAAACCACAACAGGAAAAATCACGTAGACAATTCCAAGGGTCCCATTATTAGGGCTCCACACCAAGTTCACATTTTTTGGTTGCAACTGAAATTTCTCTCTCTAAATGTAGAACTTTTAGGGAAAATAAATTCTAAATGCTAAATTATATTTAGAGAACAATAAAATGTACCTACATGCTCGGGTCAATAAATGTTTGTTAAAATCAGAGGTCGAAAAGAACTCAGAACTTCTTTGGTATAAAAGTTACATAACAGCAGATAATAAGTCGCTTCTCTCCCGAGGCCAGCAGCACTCCTTTTTCTCTCCACCATCACACAATACAATTCTCTCAGTGCCCAGGTATCCACAGGCATCGGGTCCCTAAGCATGACTGGAACGTCCAGGTACACTGTAGTGGAGAAAGAGAGAGGCCGTGAGGCCACTCTTCAAACAGCACTGGTGAGATGAATAGCCACAAGTAAAAAGTGTCCCTGTGCTGGGTTACAGGAAGGCTCAAATACAGGATTCCAAGAATTCCACCTGTTTCCAATTAGATACCAGAATTGCTGGAGTGTTTAAACTACATTCACTTGCTACTTATACAAAACAATTCTTCCGGGTTTTTTGAACATTTTAAATACGTTAAAATAAGATTAAGGATCTGGTTTAAACAATCAGAGGCAAGGAAATTTCAGCTGAAACCAAAACTATCTCTCAGCTGCGATAATGCAGAGCTTCAGACAAAACAAAAGGGCTAGGCAGACACGTTTCTGTCTGTGAAATTACCAATAAAAATCAGACTTTGGGTGGGGAGAGCACTTACATTTTTAAAGTTGCATGTTAAATAATTCTAAGTAGGCTTTAAATAATTCCTGCAGTGACTTACGATTCTGTACAGTAGAATCACTTTCACAGTAACTTTACATGTCATTTGTGTCACCGCCCAGCAGACACACCTGTCTTAAACATGCGAGATTTACATGAGCCACCAAGGGGACACTTGGCAGAAAGTGAGTCCAGCTCTGTAGAGTTCTTCACAAGATGAATTTCGCCTAAAAAATTGACAAGTTTTTTCCTAACAAATGGGTCCTTGCTTCATGTCACTGTAGTGCTGAAACAAACGTTCCCCCATTGAGACCCAGACTGCAGCGGAGCCCGAGGACAGTGGGGCTGCTTAGCGGGATTCCGGAGCCCCAACCCCAGGGCCTGCCGGCTCCCACACTCGGCCCTGGTGGGGTTTCTTAACTGAACAGCCACAGAGAAAAGGCATTTTAAATAGCCATTAAAGGTCCCGGGCTCAAAGGGGTCACCAGACAGCATTCTTGAGGTTAGCTCAGTGGATTAGGAGAGAATCATTCCTGAGAGGACCAGGCTGTCGGTCCCCTTTCCAGTTCTCCTGTGCTGACTGACTCCTGACAGAACACACATGAAGTTGGGAACTCGGGCAAAGCGTCTCTGCACCGCAGATCAAGAGCTGCCGGGTGAACCACTCCTGCACTAGCCTGCACCTTCAGGAAAAAATAATAATGGTTTCACCCAAGAGAAGCCTTGAATCAGCTGATAAGGACCCCACATGCCCGATCTCTAAGGCACCTACAGTAAAAAAAAATACAAGAAAACAAAAACAGGGGCAGCGGCAGTGAAGTTTGTTTATCCACTATTCCATCAAAGGCACTGAATGAGATATTTTAATTAAAATAATAGACCTCTTCTGCGGTACCGTCTGGGACAGCTGGCAACACGCGCTTCTGTAAAAAGGAAAAACAACCAGAAAACTTACTTGCAATAAAACTGAAATAGTCTTCTGATTTTGAAAAAGACGACAAGTTTTAGGGTTCACTTTTGCAGAGGATCCTTAAAGGGGAACGCAAGCCATGACCAAGCAGAGAGAATACCCCCAAGAGAAGCCAGCCACTGTCAGGCCCCACCCCAAAAGTTCAAGCTCCATTAATGCATAACAGAGTTACATGAGCTGGTTTTAGAAAGTGCACTTTTTTCAAACGTGTGTTTAAAAGATAAATTTATACAATGGTATTTTTCTTATTAAAAAAAAAAGTCTGGTTTTTACAAGTCTGGGATAGGATGAAAACTTGTCCAACGAGTCTTAGCAATGAAACGTCCATACTGCAAGCCTCTGGGACTAAAAAGGAAGCAAAATAGAGAACAGTCTTCAGAAACTCTTCCTGGGCTTTCACCACAAGACCAAAGGTGGCTTCAGGACCCAGGAAGCCCCAAGCTCCACGGGGCCCTGGAGAAGCACAGAACTGTCTGAATTCACCCCGATCCGCTGCAGTCTCTAACATGGATCTGCCTGGCCAAGACCAAGTCTCTCTACCTTCAGATGGCGAAGTCACAACCCTCACTGGGCTCTGCAGGCAAGCAGACCTCAGTACCAGGGGTCTGCAAAGCCGAGAGAGTTCAAACTAATGACTTCTCTCTCAAATCGCAGTCTCACAGGCCCATTCACCATCTGCAAGAATCAAAAGACCTCCCTGGGCCCACAGAAAGGTCCAGTCTGGCCAGGGAACTTTGGCATTCCATGTTCAACTGACATTTTCAAATGTGCAATGCAGCAGCCATAGGAAACCATCTAAGGCCAAATCCCTACCACCAAGAGGCAAGGGATGCTTAGTACAAGAATAATGTTCCGAGAAAGGATCTATTTGGTGGTTGCTATTTTTCAAGATCAACATAAAGTTCATTTGAGTAAACTACCAGAAATCTTTGAATCGAATCCTGAAGCCACACTGTTAAATGTCGCTATGATCCCCTGAACAAGCACCTAATCTATTGGGGTGGAGGGGAACTATTTATACCAAGTTCATAAAATCTAATAACTCTCTAGAAACCAAATCCATTTCCCAGGCAGTTCTGCCAGGATGCTTAAAAAAGAAACTTCATTGATATTAAGCTAGGATGTCACATTTAAGAAGACAAGAGGGAGAAAAAATTAAGGTTTGTCCCTTAAAACTCCACAACGGGTTTTACAGTAAGCACAGGAATTAAATTATGGTAAAAGGGAGCTATTTTTACTAAAACAGGGTAGACCAATTTATCAAAAATGCCATTCGGCTGTGTTCATTACATTCAGGAATCTAATTTACACAATAGACACTTTGGAGTAATCTATTTTGGTCAATAAATACTCAAACTCCTTTAAGTTTTAATCTTATCGGAAATACATATTTCACATAGTCTTCTTCCTAGTTAAGAGAGAAATTTGAGGAAATTTCATAACGACTATGAGTCTGCTTTATCGTTCTTCCCTTCCGTCGGCGAGGGCAGAAAACAAGCACATACAATTAAAGTTGTCAGACTCCACTCACATCCGCTTTAATTCAATCTGCCTGGATTCTTACAAGCCTCAATGTGGAGTTCATTTTCTCCTAAAGGTGCTGTCGGTCACTATCCCCCAGCCCAACGGGTTAGTAAAGTTGGGCCAAGTTCACCTTCACACACACCTCAGAGCTGGGAGCAGCAGCGGTCCCCAGGGACGCCGCAGGAACCCCTCCCCACCTCCCAGCACCAGACTGCCCTGGGCCCTTCCCAGCAGCAGAGTCGTCCCCACTCCCGCGCCCCAGCGCTCTCGGAGCTTGGAGCCCACACGCCGCTCACCTTCAACTTGTCTCCGGCTACGCACAACATCCACCTGGCAGAGTCCGGGGGCTGTCTCGGCGTCGCGGGCGCCGAGCTGGCCCGTGCGGGGCGCAGCCCTCGGGCGCTCAGCTCCTCCGGGTCGGGGGTGGCAGGCAGGAACGCAGCCCCGGAG